ATAATGTTGCTTATTGGTCCAGTTGTGAGGATTTTTGTTTTCTTTATGTTGAGGTGTAATCCATACTGAAGGCTGTAGTCTTTGATCTTCATCAGTAAGTACTTCAAGTCCTCTTCACTTTCAGCAAGCAAGGCTGTGTCATTGGCATATCACAGGTTGTTTTTCCCCTGAATCTCTATTAATTTGGTGAGTTATAATGACAGTTTTATAATAAACTACTCTTACATTCCCGGGATTAAAAAACTTGGTTATGAGTTATTGTCGTTTTATATAATGATAGATTTAGTTTCCTAATATTTTCCCTAAATTTCTTCATCTATGTTCATAAATAATTTGCAATTTTGTAATGAGTAATTTGATTTCTAATTTTCCTTTCTTATTTTTCCTTATATAGTTTAGTGTTAAGGTTATATTTGCCTCATAAACTGGGTTGAGGAATAATACTACTTATTTTCTTCTCAGGAAAAAAATTGTTTCTGATGGAATAATGTATTTCTTGAAAGTATGAAAGCATGGCAGAACTTTCCTGTAAAGCCATCTGTAGAACCTCGTTTTTCATGATGTGTAGTATGTGTAAATATTTTAAAATATTGATTAAATTTTTTTGCTATTAAACTATTCAGGCTTTCTATTTCTTCTTAAATTTGTTAGGTTATAATGTTCTGGGAATTTGTCCATTTTATCCAATTTAAAAAATTATCATCATGAAGATTTTTATTATTCTTTTAAAAATCTCTTCTGGGTCCCCTTTTTCACTCCTAGTATTGCTCATTTCTGTCTATTTTCTTTTCATTGTTGAGCCTTGACAGAATTTTGTCTACATCATTTATCCTTTAAAGAACAAAATTTTGCCTTTCCTGCTCCTGTTGTATCTGTATTTTCTCTTTCAACAATTATTGTTCTTATCTTCCCTTCTGCTTTTTTTGTTTTTTATTAATCTCTCAAATTGGATGTTAGCTCATTAGTTTTCAGTGTTTCTTCCTTTCTAATGTATGCATTTAAGCTATAAATTTCTCTCTCATTTCAGCTTTAGCTCTATCAATATTACAAAAATACTGACAGGTGGAACAGCTTAGTTCTAAATGTATGGTTTAGTTCTAAGTATTTCTCAGTTATCCATTATGAGTTCCTGTTTTGATCATATATAATTAAGATATGTGCTTTTGAAATTTATAAAT